ACGTGCAAAGCTATAGACGCGCCGTCAGCAAATTCGGTCGAAGCGGTATTTTGGCCGGATGAGTGGTTACCTCTGTTAACTACTCCTCCTCTTGAAGTGAAAGCGTCCGCGGTTTCCTTTATGATATTCTTCAGTACTACCATATTTCTTTGCCGTCTCCTCAGAAATATTGTTATGCTTGTAGCTATGGCTAATAGGATTAAGAGCAAGGCGCTTCCTGATTGTATTGAGCGAGTATCAATAAGATTCCGTAGGTGTACTATGTGCTTAAGGTTTTTCATATTAATTCTTTGTAGGTGTGGAAGTGATAATAACTCGATATGTTCGGTGAAGTTAACGTGCTGTGTGGGTACCGCTTCGGGATGTGAACGCATTACTTCATTCCAGTTGTTATAAGTGGTGGTGTTTATTGTAATATCGCCTTTGAATGTTATCAAGAAAGTTCCTCTAGTCAATCTTGTCAAATTTTCGTTTTGTATTATCGCGGGCTGGTCATTAATTAAAATTATGCCGTCGTCGATCTCCTCAATGGCGGGCACGTGATCGGCAGATTTGGATTTGCATTTTGCGGAATGTTGGTTAAGTAGTTGTCGTACACAGGGACTTTCTTTCAAGGGTCGGCAGAAGTTTGCTGTTATGGCTTCTCTACAATTATAAAGGGGGATGTATTCTCCGTTGCATTCAGCTATAACATTTGTTTCCAAAGAAATAATTCTTCCATTTTGGATAACGGGCAGTAACTTTACGTTATTACAAATCCTAGCTATTTTTGGGTATTTAATAATGAAATAAATAAACTGCGTATTCTGAAATATCTTAAATTTATAAACAGAAAGTATGTCAGTTATACTGGTATTTGTAGAGAGCTCAGCAGCTAATATATTGTTTATTTCCATGCCAGTAAGCAGAATGGGGTTAATAACATTTACTTTTCCCAGAGCTACTGATGTTATAATGGTTTCTAACTCCATTATCACTGCTCTATTTCTAGTACTGACTAAAGAAAAGAGATTTCCCGTGTCGATCTGCGTCCGTTTTGCCTGTGCTAAAAGTTTATTAACTGTCACTGTCAGTTCGTTAATTTTCCCTTGTGTAACTGAATTAATCATTGCCTGCTGTTCATTTGCTTCTATTAGGGCTTCGGCTCTGGTCTCAATTGTTTGGAAGTCATCAAAGTCTGGGGTGCCGGTTATGTACTTTAATGCAGTCCCTAAGATATTAATGCCTCGGGCATGCCGGTGATGTATTCTGACCGCGTCTAGTAGTTTTAATATTTCGTTAGCCTCGTTTCGGAGAAGTTGCCTGGCGTGAGAAAGTGGAAATTGCTCCAATATTGCGTCCGTCTCTTCCGCTATCGCTTCGCATTCTGTCAAGTTTGTCTTGTGGAGTAGAAACTCATAGTGTTCGTGGAGGATCACTTTCCCTGTTGTTATTGGGATGTAGTTGGAGCTGGTATAATTGAATATCCTCGCATTGGCCCAATGATCTATTGTCAAGAGCAGAGTTACCCTAAGAAGGAAGGTAAAATTTCAGTGTTTTAAGTTGGTTTTGTGAACTTTACGTCCGTCGATTAAAACAAAGGTACCTAAATCGCTCTGGACTGCTTTTTCGGTGTAAATTTAGTGAATTTGTTTCCTATTCTCTTATTCGTCTTCACAAAAACCTTTTCCCCTGGTTTATATTGTCTTCTTCGTCTCTTTATATTGTGTCTTTTTAAGTCATTTTGTTGGGTTTGTATAAGTCTATTCTTTATTTCGTTAACCAGTTCGTCTGGCGCTGCATGGATGATATCTATAGGTTTCCTGTTTGTCACGGAATGGACGGTGCGGTTGTACTTAGCCGTTGCTAGCAGAATTAATTCGACCGTGCCGGAAATGCAAGTCTCGAGCTTTTTTGTACTGTGGAACCTCTCCACCTGGCCGTTCGTCGTACTGTGAGCCGGTGGCGTGGTGTAGATCGTGACTCCGAAGTGGTTTTTTAAGATTGCTCTAATATTTTCTGAATTCAGTGACCTCTCGTTATCGCAAACCAGAAATTTAGTGTTTTTGTAAAAGTTGAGGAGTTCGTAGATTGGCTCCTTAATATCCACTATGGCTCTGGATTTTATTGGAAAAACCATTGCAAATTTTGAGAATTTATCTATTGTTGTGAGAAAATGTCTGTTTGTTTGAAAATGTTTGTCTGTTGAATAAATGTCAACGTGAAGGATTTCCCCTGGGTATGAAGGTATGGGGGTTGATCCTATTTCGGGGTTTGGGGGACGTCGTTTGTATTTTGCTTCATGACATATTTTCCAATTTGAAACTATTTCTTTTAGGATTTTCCTTAAGTCAGGGAAGTAGTAATTTTCCAGGACTTGCTGCTCATTTTCGCGACAGGATCTATGTGCACGATTATGGTTTTGGAGGATTTCTCTTTGGTCCTCCTTATTAAAAACGTCGATAACCTGCTTTGTAGTGTGGCGGAACTTTGGAAAAGATGTGGTAAGCTCGTTTTGGATTAGTGCCAAAGTAGAGAGTTCGCATAGCAGCCCGTTAACAACATTCGGATTTACACATTGTTTCATGGCTTTCAATAAATCTTGTAGGTTACTAAAAGATATTCGATGCCTCACTCGTGTCTTAAAAAGAATCGACGTGCTAACCGGTAATTTGCTGCCCTCCTCTAGGATAATCCGAGTTTGGAAACAATTAATGGGGTTTTTTACTGTAGGTATTGCTTGAGTTAGTGACAATTCGCTGTTGGTGGCCATATTTCCTGTGTCCACCTCGTTGTCCAGTGTATTTATGTGTTGCCGGGAAAGTGCATCGGCGACAAAGTTTTCTTTACCTGGTTTGTAGTGGAACTTTGGTGAGTACTCTTCAACAAAAGCGCGCCACCTTTTCATCTTTGCATTTGGGTTTTTGTCGGACAAAGCGAAGGAGAGCGGTTGGTGATCTGTATAGATGTTCAAGTGTTTTACGCCGTATAGGTAGTTACGAAGTTTTTGTAGTGCCCATACAATCGCCAGGAGCTCTCTTTCATTGGTCGCATAGATTTCCTCTGTCTGAGACAGAGTTCTCGAGATCATAGTGATAGGTCTGCCGTTTTGTGACAAAACAGCGCCTATGGCATGTGAAGAGGCGCCCGGTGTCAAGTCAAAGGGCTGCTTGTAGTCTGAGTAAAGGAGCAGTACATCCTCTGATGCAAAAATCCGTTTAATTCTACCAAAGGCGTTAAGTGCTTCTTCGTCTAATGTTATTTCTATTTTCCGGGATTGGTTAGCACCGATATTTCCATTTTCCCCACGTAGGTATTTTGTTAGGGGCTTTGTAATCGCAGCGTAGTCCCTTACGAATCGTATGTAATAGCCAGCCAACCCCAAGAATGATCTTAATGATTTGGGGACAGCGAAGTCCAAAATATCCCTCACTTTATCGGGGCATGTCTTGATACCCTCTTTGGATACTGTAAAGCCCAGAAACTCGACACTTTCTTGAAAGAATTTGGACTTGTCGGCGGACACCCGCATATTAGCGGCGTAAAGTTTTTGTAGTACCAGGTCTATGTCCTTTAAATGTTGCTCAGCACTTTCTGAAAAAATTATGACGTCGTCCACATAGACGTGGCATATTTTACCGATTTCCTCTCTTAATACGTCATCAATGGCTCTCTGAAAAATGCTGGGAGCATTTTTTAGGCCAAAGGGAAGCCTACAGAATTCGTACTTGCCGTTATTGACCGAAAATGCCGTTTTTTCTCGATCCTTTTCGGCTAACTTAATTTGGTGGAATCCGGACTTGAGGTCTATTGTTGAAAAGAACCTGGCATTTCCAATGTTAGCCAAAATTACAGAAGTGTCCGGAATCGGGTACTTGTCACTCACTGTTTTGTTGTTCAGTTTTCTAAAGTCAATCACGAGTCTGGTCTTCCTATTACCGTCCTCATCGACGCCCTTCTTACTTACAACCCAAATCGGATTATTATAAGGAGAGCGGATTATACCGTCACGCAAGAGATTCGAAATCTCCTTATTGACAAACTCGGCTGAAGCTATGGGGTATGGGTAGCTCCTTGAGTAAACTGGAATGTCATCGGTGGTCCTTATTGTTCCTAAAATATTGGTGTTATAGGGTAAAGCTTCGTTGGGGTCCGCGAAAACTTTAGCATGTTGTTGCAATAGTGCGGAAATATCCAACTTGCTCACGTTCGTTTCTATTAATTTATTAACATCCGGGCAGTAGTGATGGAAGAGTTTTTCCCGTCCACCGTCATAACTAAGAAGTCCACTTTTCCAGTCTATTTTACCGTTTACTTCCGTTAATAGGTTAAAACCTATGATACCGTCGAAGGTGTCTAAGCTGGGTAGGATAAAAAACCTGGTATTTTTATTAAAAATGTTGATTGTACAATACTTGTCAATTCTAGTGGTGCCATGGATAGATTTGACTGTAAAGGTGCGGTTTGCGGGTTTGATTCCCCTTAGGTCGCTGAGTTGTTTTATGTAGCTCTTCGCAGCACCAGTGTCAATAAGGAATTTTATACCTCTTCCCCCGATTGTTCGCTCGATATAGGGCAAGAGGGATTTCGTCCTAAAAAATTCACATCGTCATTTGTTTCGTCTTCGCCTTGGTATTCAACTTGGTTACATCCTTCGTAACCCTCGCTCTGGTAATAATTGTCGTAACTGGCATTATCCCAATATTCTCCCTCAGGATCGTCTTGCTCCTGAGTAAATTTATTTATCGTTTGAACTTTTTGTAATGCCTGCTGGTCGCTCCCGTGCGGTCTTTTCTCTGGCCTTTCCCTACTGAGGGTCTGGGTGGTGTTTCGGTTAGACAAGTCACTCGGGTTGTCAATATTTGGACTAGGAGCCCTTGGATAGGTTCCTTGATGGAACCTCCCATTATTACCATTTACTGATTGAGGTTTGTTCTGTCTGAACCTTGAGAGCGATGGGTCTACATCCATTGGTACGGCCCTTTGTGTCTGAGTTTGTCGTTGTTGGTCAGGTTGGATCGCTCGGTACTGTGGTAAATACGGATACTGCCTGGGATTCTGAATTGATTGCCTGTTAAAGGACTGGGCAAACATGGACCTAGCTTGGTTTGATTCAAGCTCCTGTGCTAAAGCCAAAGCGGAGGGAAGATCGTTAGGTCTAGAAGAAAATAGTATGTCGCATAAAGGACGATTGAGCCCCGAAATAAAAACACGGAGAGCGTCCTCGCGGTATTTACTATTGAGAGATTCTATTAGGGTGGTATTTCCACCGTGAGTCATGATCGTCTTGTTTATTATTAGGGTCAGCTTCCTTTCGACCTCATCGTAAAACCTTACCACTGATAATTTACCCTGTCTTAAGGTGGATAGCTCTTGCTCAATTAGGTGGATAGGCCTTTTATCGGCATATGCAAAATCTAACCGTTAAATAATTGCCTTAGAATTTAGGACTGTGTTGAAGGATGAAAGCACACTATCTGCCGCCCCTACTACTTTATTTCTTATGATGCCTACTGCCTGGTAGTGTTTGGAACTACCTTGGAATCCCTCGAATACCTTATACGCAGTGTGAGCTGCTTGCCGCCATGAGACATAACGGGTAGGATCACCCTTGAATTCCGGCATGGTCTTTACCAGGTCTAAGGATTCGTCACACAATACATTTGGTTCAATTGTAACCGGCTCATACTGAACCACTTGAGTTGGGGTATCGATTCTAGCTAATCTATTTGTAAGTTCGTCTATACGGGTCTGAAATACCTGTCTGGAATGCTCGGTTGCCGTACGGATTGCAGTATTTAAAAGGGCTTGGAGAGTCTGGGCGTCCATCGACATTGTTCTGTTTTTAGGAAATCTCCGATTCAAACACTACTTTTTTCTAAAATCTCGAATGGGATTTCTCAGATTTATCTAATTGATTTTAAACTTTTATTAATATAGTTAGCTGCTAAACTTTCTACTTACATTAATATTTTCATGTCAATATCTTGTGTGCTCCTTGATCGCTGTATTTAATATCTTGTGTGCTCCTTGATCGCTATATTGGTGGTTGTTAATACATCATCGTTATAATATCTTGTGTGATCCTTGATCGCTGTATTGATGGTTGTTAATATATCATTAGTGTCTCCCTGATCGTTGTAATATCTTGTGTGATCCTTGATCGCTGTATTGATGGTTGTTAATATATCATTAGTGTCTCCCTGATCGTTGTAATATCTTGTGTGATCCT